CACATTATATTCAGCCAGAGCTTGGCGGTGTTTATTAAAATAAAAAAAAATTAATAATGTTTGACGTTTAGAACTGCTGTGGAAACTTTGTTGGGAGCGCCGCCAAACATGATTTTCTGTAACTATACGTACACTACCGGCAAAAAGTTTGGACCCACCTATAACATCCATTTTTTCATGTTTTCTTGTCTCATTCAGCTCAAAATGAGACCTTAATCTAAAAGCCCTATCAAATTCTGTCCTGATTAATTATTTCGAAGACAAAATTTGGCCGGCCTTTGGCCGACCATTGGCCACTTATCGGCCATTGAAGAACGGCGGCCATTTTCGGCTTCCTAAACGGGCCATCGGATTTAAAAGTTTCATATAGAAGACTTCCCTTATTTTCGAGAAAAAATAACTTTTTACCAAGAGACCAAGCCTGAAAAGTATATATTTGAGGAATTCTTGAAGAAATTCGATTTTTCTTGATTTTCATACATTTTAGAGCATTTAGGACATTTTTGGCCATATTTCACACAATCAATGAACAATTTTGGATCTGGCAAAGCTAATTCCATGTAGAATTGTCCGCTAAACACTTTTGTAGTAGTAATCATATGCGTAAAACCACTGGAAATGTGAGTAAATGGCATGCAAACTCATTTTGACAATAAGCTGTCCACTGGAAACGGGAAATATAAAAAAACGACAAAAATCGCACAAACTTTCAAATAGTAGTGATGCAGTTCTTCATGATCTGAGGCCTTCTGTCATCCCTGTAAAGAGCTCGCCAGGGACACGAGAAAAAAAACATGTGTCGTACTGTGAAATGAAAGAGTGTCTGACTCTCAAGCGTTGGACTGTGTGATAAAACATAAAACCAGAATCTGTTTTGGAATAAAAAAATCCAAAATTTTGAACCCCGAGGGAGAAAAAAAAAGTAGTTAGTACCTTTTTGCATTCAATGTACATTGTACAATGTACGTTTCATGTAACGAGAATGATTGCATACTTGCAGGGCCACGATTTTTCAAATTACCGATCTCGATTTGGGGCCGAAGAGAGGGGTTTTATGAAGTTAAAATGTTCTATGCGTAAGTGGGATTTCTCACGAGCTTTCCGAATGTAATGGTGGTTTGGGAGGGTTAAAAGAGGGTTTCTGTCCGCTTTCTGTCCTAAAATAGTTGGTGATTTTTCGATTTCGGGAGCCTCTTCTGCCCCTACAAAGGAGATGGCCCCTAACTAATTGGTATTATTTGATTTGTTGCAGTCTACTGAGCATTTCATCAGGACATATCATCATCGTCAGACCAGCCATTCTATGTTAAAAATAAAACGAATTACATACGTAATCCAAACTTTTCCGCACCGCAGCAATTTCACTTTCCTTCCGCTTAATATTTAACCGAAAGTCCAATGACAATTTCTTCATGACAGTATCGCGACACAAAAGGGTTGGATAATTGCATTTGGGATTTTGCTAAAAAAAAATCATTTTTGACTTCGAAAAATCGTTATTTCGACGATTTTCCATATCTATGGGTAAGATTGAGATTGGAGTATGATGTCGTTGATCCAATTCTTGGTCGATTTAGTGTGGAATGGTTGATATGTCGATTCCAGGCCAAATTTATGTGCAAGTTGGTGTTCGGTTAACGGTTATTCACAGACTCCCATTTTTTCGCAAATTAATATCAGTTCCCCTTGACCAAAACCCTGAAAAATGCGTTTTTCGAGTACTTCCCATACCAAAGTGTCATTTTAGAAGGATTTACAAGGGTTTTCAAGTCCTCAGTCGGAGGCTTATTGTACAAAATTGGTAAGTCAGAATGGGCTCAAAATCAATCCGAAGCTTTGTCTCAACATGTTCAAACCTTCGGCTTTTACAGATGTCAATTATCTTAAATACTCGAAGAAGACTTTTTTGTAGCCCCATCGATTATCTATCCAACCATATGTATTGTATATAGTTTTGAAAGTTTGTACCACACTTTTCATAGTATGAAAATGTCAAAAAAGTGCTTTAGTCAATTTTTTGCCAAATAAGGGTCACTCTATTTTTCATCAAGTGGGGAAGGTCCACCCGTTCACTGTCAAATTTTGAACAATTGTAGAACGCCGTGGATTTTGTACGGCAAAATTCAGTACTAATTGGTGTGATTTCGTGGTATTTCACAATATGTCGAAATCACTCACGGCTATTTACAGCTCAATCACACCAATTAGTACTGAATTTTGCCGCACGAAATCTACGGCGCCTCACAATTTCACACTTCGTATTCTGTATACAATCAATGCGAGATTATAAGTGTGAGGGAAAGTTACCCTCATTTTTTGGCTTTGTGAGTTCTTGGCAATCGGAAGGTTAATTCAGAATTTTGCTACACTTGGTGTGGAATCGTCGAACCACTGAAAAACTTTAGTTAAAGGATGCTGCAGACCCCCGAAGAAATCGAAAGACGGCACTGCTACATTTGTCGAAGGTACTAATTCAGATCTGTGAAATAGATATTTTCAGGCAAAGACATTTTTCGACGCAAATGTTAATTTATTATTATGATTATCTTACAAATAACATATTGTATTGTGGTTAGACGAATAAATATCATTACATATATATATGTATTCACAACTATTATAATAAAATATATAGAACGAAAACTCGAATTTACGGGAAGTATTTTCCATTTTTACAGTTAAAATTTCTGCCAACTAGATCTAAATCTGGGAAAAGTAGCACATGAACAACATGGTTGAATATTTTTTTTTATTAAATATGAATAATTTTAATTGCTTATATTTAATCAAAGACGCGTTCACACTTAGATGCAAAATATGAATTTGAATGAACATTTTCAATGGATGTCCGCATTCGAACCAAACGTCAAACAGGTATTTGATCGATCATTGTTTATTGCTTTTGTGTTGAAAATGTTTGATAAGCCTATTTTTGACGTCTGGTGTGATGGCGGTATGAAATATTAGAAAATATTAGATCAAATCCATGTTGAATATTTTTTACAGACAGAGGAAACAGTATCAAATGCATCGAGAGTTTGATAGTTGTACAATAGCGACACATTACTGAAACAAATGAAACTCACGGAATGAATGTAACCAAATGTAGTGAGTGTGTTTAATGGGGACCACATAGTCGTCTGCCTATTAAGCGGCGCTTAATGACACAAAAAATACAAAATATTTGTCTTTAAAATCATGTTATTGTTATACTTTGTATTGTTAGCACCATGCATGCGTATGGTCAAATGTGTTTGTAAAAATGGCAGGGCCCGTTAATTCACTTGCGCCGCAGAAAGTACATTTAAAGTGTACTACGCTGAAGAGTACGTGTATGCCTGTGAAGTCGTTCAACGTATTATGATTGTCGTCTTAGAACGACAACACTTGCCGACGAGTGTTGCGGCAGAACCGACATTCATACTTGATATAAATGTTCTTCCTCTGTCTGATCGAGTGTGATTCAGTTTGAAGGCAAACCAAGAAGGAATCAGCAAACATTGGGCGAATTCACACTTTACAATGATATCTTATATTAAAAAAAGCCTACTGTAAAGTGAAAATTAGAACGAAAAACGTTACAACCAGGTCTCGTTAGCTCGAAAATATAGCAAATCTAGCGCTAAGGACAAAACATTGAACACACTTTCTTACATTCTTGTTGAATTACAAGTAAATAGTTCCCAAAATCCACTCAACAACGTATAACATTAAACGTATTCTTTCCTTTATATTTGTTGTTGTAACATTTCCTTGGTGTCAAGCAAGGCCTGGTTGTGACGTATTTTTTCTTCTATTTTTGGCCAGTTTTGAAAAAACGTTAAATAAAAAATTCTTTTTTTAAGACAACTTTTTCCGGAAAATGAGAAGAAAATGTTTTTATTTTGCAAACTCACAAAAATGAAATAATTTTTGCCGATATCATATCATTTCAGCTAGCATATATTTTCGTCGCTTTTTGTGCAAATAAAAACTTTTCTTTCGTCAAATAATTATTACGTTTTATTTTGTGTAAAAATTAGGGTGTGTTCTAGTGATAAATCAAATGCTTTTCTTTGATTTTACATTGAAAATATTTGATTTTGGTACGGTGTGAATTAAAATTATCTCCTATGTTTATTTCTTCCAAGTTTATTTTATTAAAATAAAATTATATTAGATTGCATTGAAAATATAAACTCAAAAACTGCGTCAGTTCTTACAAGTAAGTTCCTACAGGTGGCTCTTAAATACAGTCCCTTCACCCTCCACATATACAAAACTGTTTCAATTATTTTCATACACGACCAATTGGAAAAATATTTGAATTTGACAAAGAGTATGAGACAAAAGTACACCGCTGTTAGTTCATATGAAATTCGTCAAGTAAGAAGGGGAATGCCCATCCATTCAAGGTACGGTTAAATAAATCTATGATTATATAAGAGAAATCATGATGAGGTATAATCATAATCATAATGACTTTGATGTACATTATTGGCACTTCAAGTTGCTTTGTGTTTCGAAATTGAAATAGAATTTCTAGCTTTCGGGAAAGTTTTTCGAAATTATCCCATTATGAATGGGTCATATGCATTCATATATTTAATGAATAACTTCTATATGAGGATGATGAACCAACACTTATGAACTGGCGGATATAAAAAATGGCCACATGTTTTTAAATTGTATTTCACACCAAACATTTATCTGAATATTTTACGTGATAAAGCTGCCACGCTTTTATTTGTTGGAAAATGCGCCGCTCGTAATCACCAAAAGGTACCTCAATAATTTCGAAGATTTTGCATACGAAATGACAGCGTGATACAAGTGTTCAATGTCTTTTTGTGAAACTATATCGATGCAATAGCACTAGTCTAAAATCTAAATAAATATCATTTTTTCATAGAAGAAGAAACAAAACAAGAATTATTTTCCTTTTTAGGTTTGTGGTTTATACTTTATAGTAAGAATTGTTCTTCGCGTTCACTTAAATCAATCATGTATTTGCTTAGATATATCGGAAAAAGCAACTCTCCAGACGACACAGATATATTTAAAACCAAAAGTTCCGAACTATTTGTCACTATTGTGGTTGATTTCCCCGAGATTCCAAACCATACTATTATTTAAAAAAAACACTCAGCAGTAATTTGATAAATTTTGGAATTTTTTTATCTTAAATAAATAACAAAACTCGAACAAACAAATTTACATATCTAGTCGTGCATTTATTTTTTTGCATTTCAGATTTTAATTGTACAGACTTCGAATCGGCTAAATAATAAACATGAAAAAAGTTCGAAGCATATAATGTCTTTGTTATTTCGTTGAGTGTAATAAACATTTATGAGTGAAAGATTTGTTCGTCGAGATTGTCGATGAAATATTTTCACACCTTTTATCATTTGAATAAAAGATCTCATCGAAACTCAAAACTATACGATAATAAAGTGTTTCTATTTTGTTTACAATCTAAACGATTTATATTTATATTTTATATTTGAATACGTGAGATAATCGTCATCGGCTTCGTCATGGATGACGATTTCGGTCGTTTTCAGTCGCCGAAACGGCTGCAAGCTTTTTTCCATTTGCACTGTGTACACCATAATTCCTTTTTCTCCATGCCATACTGCTTTCGACACTTTTTATTTTCTCCCCTTGGCCGTCGATTTGGTGAAAGTTGTGATCGATGAATAACTGAAGTGGCAGATGAAGTTGGTGCACTGTGAGACAAATTCAGAATATCCGAATGTTGTGGCTACAATAGTCAAAAAAAAACAATTACAAAATAAATTAGCAACTTCAATTTGAGAACTGATTAATAAGCAGATGCAACATTATTGCATACTGGATAATTTTTACATTAAATCAAAGATTTACCTGTTGCAAATGATTAGCAGTATGCAAGGATTGTGAATGGTGAATCGAAGAGTTGTTATTACTATTGAGAATAGTAATACTGCCCGATGCACGAATGTTATTTGATGCCGATGGGCCGTTATATGAATTTGGTAGCCCCAAAGCCACATTAACATTATGCTGAGCAGCGGCAATTGCACTCGTATACGTTGGCGAAGGATATGGCGCATATGAAGTGGATGGACGTGGCGATAGACGCACGTGCTTTTGTGGTGACAACTTCACGATTTTTGAAATTGTAAAAAAGGGAAAAATAAAAATAATTAAACAAAAAATTATCTTTAATGTTTTTTTTTGTGATAAATTTAAAAAAAAAACACAAATTTACCGAATTTTGTTGTGCCCATGTATAGTTGTGGTGAGCCAATGGGGAATTCGGAATATTGATAGCTCCTGCCGTATTGGGCAGCGGAGGTTTAACAGAAGACTGAGACATTGTTAACAATCCTTGTCTATAATTTAAAATTGAAAATAGGATTGTTAGATTAACGCTCAAACCGCAACATAGGTTTCTAATGAAAATACCTCATATTTCCAACTAAACGTCTCTGATATTCTGGATCTTCATGTGGCGGTCGTGCCATATCGCGATGGCTTAACGTTGGTGGCGACGGAGGATTGGGAGATTTTATATCAGTATCTTCAGTTTCAATTTCAGCTTCTATTTCCGTGTAATAAAACGCCTCATCTGGAACGGCATCATCACTTAAATCGTCATCAAAATCGTCATCCTCCTCCGAGTTATCATCGGCATCAGCATTTCGTGATTTTTGCATTCTATTTGAATAAAATAAGCATAGATATAGTCCGAAATGATTTTAATATGAAATCATACATTTGTAAGGTTTTCGTTGTTCTCAAACCTTCTAAATCTACGTAAGAGCTTTACCAGTGTCAAATATGTTTTCGAATATATTTCTCAATTTTCGAAATGTCAAAAAAGGAATGAATGAAAATGAGAGAATGGAACGTCAAGATAGTTGGAGACAATAGCGTTTTGCTTGACGTCGGGTTTTCATCATTTTGTAATGGTGATTTGTATTGTTCGTCGTGGATTTTATTATAACATTTAAACATTTATTTTAGATTATCGCTGATATACATTTTAATTGACAAAATACCTTGATTAAATAATTGAAAAAATGGTTCCTCAAAATTTAAACATGGTGGATGAAATTTTGAGGGCTATACGCATATTTGTAGTGCAAAAAAATGGAGAACTATCTGATAAGTTTGGTCGAAACATAAATTTGATATGTGAAAACGATCCTCAGGGAATGAATATGAAAATATTTACAGGTATGAAATAAAATAATTTTATAAATCGAATTATGATTTCACTATTCACAAATCAATATAGTTGATAGTAAAATTTTGGATATAAAATCTGTAATGATGGATATATTGACACTAGTTCTTCCATTCTGGCATAAATTAAAAATTTACAAAACAGTTTTTACTTTTTTAGTAAACATTTCTTCGAAAACTGAGATAAAATTGGCCATATAAATTTTCTAAACTAACATGGTAGAGAATTAGAACTATATCGACACAATAGGTAGCTATAGCTCACAAGCTTAAACTTTGTGAAGATGCACTCTAGAAACGTTAAAACAGGACAATGTTGATGAATAGGATGATTTTAAGGCATTCAAGGTTGAAAAACTTCAATTGTACTTATTTATATAAATAATATAGATGACGATAATATGAATTCTTGTGCCCAATATCTGATTACCAGCGATACAAATTCAGCGGCTCTTGGGGACCTAAGCCACATTTTGAATTTCGAGTTTGAAACTATTTGTTTAAAGTTTGAATCTCATACAGGTAATGTGCATCGAATATTCGCTTAAATAGGCAGGCTTGAGAAATGTAAATTAAATCGAGTAATTTTTTTCCACAAACAGATTCACAAAAGTTTCGACGTTGTTTGAATAAGATTAAAAAACCACAATCTGTATTTTCAATGAGGACAGAAGAGTCGTCTGCTTCGCAGTACTTCCAATTTTATGGTTACTTGAGCCAGCAACAAAATATGATGCAAGATTATGTTCGGACCAGTACATACCAAAAAGCGATATTGGGTAATTCGAATGATTTTAATGGGAAAGTAATACTCGATGTTGGAGCCGGATCGGGTATATTATCATTTTTCGCCGTCCAGGCTGGCGCAAATAAAGTGTATGCTATTGAAGCTAGCAACATGGCGACGTTTGCACAACAGTTAGTTCAGGCAAATCAAACTGATGATCGGATTGTCGTCATACCCGGCAAAATTGAAGAAGTTGAGTTACCTCAAATGGTGGACGTAATTATTTCAGAGCCTATGGGCTATATGTTATACAACGAGCGAATGTTGGAGACATATTTACACGCTCGCAAATGGTTGAAACCAGGTGGGAAAATGTTTCCAAGTGAAGGTGATCTGCATATTGCGCCCTTTACAGATGAAGCACTTTACATGGAACAATACAACAAAGCCAATTTTTGGTAATAAAGTCATACTAATATTGAAATTTTTGTGGAGATCCACACATTACATGACAAACCATTTCGTTCTATTTTCCAGGTATCAGAAATCTTTTCATGGAGTAAACTTGACAACATTACATGAAGAGGCGATGCAAGAATATTTTCGCCAACCAGTTGTTGACACATTTGATATTCGAATTTGTATTAGTAAATCGATTAAACACTCTGTTAACTTTTCAACGGCCAAGGAAACTGATCTCCATTTGATTGGTAAAGTCCATTAATCCAGAACAATAATTTCCAAAAATCACACCTTTTTTTTATTCAGATATCCCTTTGCAGTTTCAAGCTCTGCAAACTGGTATTTGCCATGGACTCGCTTTTTGGTTCGATGTTTCTTTCAACGGATCAGCACAACAAATTTGGCTATCAACTTCACCTATTTCCCCCCTAACACATTGGTATCAAGTTCGTTGTTTGCTCCAAAACCCTATTTATGTCAGACAAGGTCAAACTATCACAGGTCAAGCTCTGTTAGTAGCGAATAAACGACAAAGCTATGATATCACCATAACTTTACGTGTTGAGGGAACAAACACGGCTTCATCAAATACTTTGGATTTGAAAAACCCATATTTTCGCTACACTGGAGCCCCTACGCAACCACCCCATGGAACTACAACCCAATCACCATCTGAAGCATATTGGTCACATTTAGATACACAACAAGCATCACGCAACGGCACTCAAATGTTCAATTATTAATACATAGTGTTTGTCACTTCATTTTTTTTTATCTTTTGACCCTAATTGCGAATGAAAACTTGAACAATTTTAATAATATACTTACTAGATACAACAATTACAATTAATGATGATAAGTTGAAGAAAAATTAAATTCAAACTCAATAATTCATTCGAGAAAACTCTGCTCATTCCTTGTCAGATTTTTTGTTTTAACGGTAGGATTATTGAAAATTTGAGTGTTTGAAAAACAGGTGCGTTTTAATAAGAATGTGGGCAATTTTCAATTTTGGCGATTGTACGTTTAATATTGTCACCAATTAAATTTGGGATGCAGATTTTCTATAAATTTACTACTGAAACGAATACTCTGAAGAGGACTCAGAAAATATTCTCTTTGTACTTTTAGTTTCCATTTTTTATTTTTAGAATAAGTTCGAAGGCAACCTTGATGTCACGTGAAGTTTGCTCTTCTAAGTAAATCAATCTATTGTGGTTCTAAGTAATGTGTCGAGTATTGTAAACAGATTCTGTTAGTTTATAAGCAAAATATCCAATTCAAATTGAAAATCCTCCTTTATTTTTTGTTTAGATAAAAAGCGAATTTTCATTTTTAGAATGTCATGACAAAAGCGTTTAGAAAATGAATAAAACTAAAAAACCGAATATTTTACGCACATCATAACTGGTTGTTCATTACCGGAAACAACATTGCTACTTTTGTTTCTGTTCCAATGCCTTTTTGGCATTTGCTTAGAAAACAAATGGTATTTTCTTTGAGCGATTTGGAGTAAGTTTATCTCTTGAGCAAATATTGTAAAAAGTCAAACTAAATTGGTTCCATTTTCTCATATGAGATGTGTCAGCATAGGTTCTGATGAGGGTCCGGAGGGTCCGTATTACCCCTCCTTGAGAGCGTCCTGATATTTTAGGCCCCCCTCGGATTTGAGAAAATTTTCGTTTACACTCCTCTCAAAATTAGACTAATAAGATGAAGAAAAAGATTTATGCGCTCAACTATATTTACCACACCAGATGGATATCAACCGAATTTTATAACAACAAATAAAATCCGTAAAATTCCTATATAAATTCAAATCAACTCAATAAATATGTTCTTTTCGGGCCTATGAAATCCATACTGACGACAATATTCGACCTGCCTCTAGAGGTCATACACACAATACACCTTGAGCGGTCAATATATACACACAGTACAGACACGCATGTATTGCTACTTGATTTTTAGTTGTGCATACACACGAGTTTGAAATTTTCAACTATCACCGCAAGCGCCGTGTCACTAGAGCTCGTGTTATGTTTACATTTAATATATTGTTATTGTCGCTTCATACCTGCGGTTCTTTCATACTTAGGAAAATGGTTTTTGAAATGATTTACGTGTCAATTTTCTTTACAAAAATTAGAATCTACCCCATCGATTTTTTTGATGAAATTAGAAATTCATACATTTTGATCAATTGAAATCTCCCTGGGCGCGCGGTCGTAAGAACCTATGTGTGTCAGTTTCCATAGACTGCCTCCCACACAGGAAATTCATCTTTAATTTTTTCCAAATAATGAATTTTCAATTTTCGAGATTAAAACCACTTTGAATGTGTTTTGAAAGTATGGAAACTTTATTTTCACTTGGTTCCCTTTTGTAAAGCATTCATTGATATATTTAACACCGCCAAGGACAGTTTGAATCGGTAGGTACACAAGAGAGTTCGAGAATAAATTCTTGCTGCGTCAAAAAAAAACTTAAGTGGATACATGTAGTTAGATTATCTTGAACCGTTGACCATCGGCTTTCATTAGACATTTTCATGTTTCGCATATTAATAAATTTGGTTATTCTTTTGCCTAGTGGAGAACCAATATTTATGTAAAATTAATTACACACATTGTACAAAAATCAAAAGATCAGGTTTTCCATGACTTTGGAATCATTTTCCTGCAAAACGAACTATTCAGCCAGTTTTTTGGCTTTCAATAAAATAAATGAATGAATAAATGTATTTTATAGTATTGGGTCGATTTTATAAAAAAAAATGTTTAATCTGGAAAAATGGTTTTCAATGTTTTCCATTTAAAATATGCGCTTCGGAAACGACATCCTTTACCTAAATAAAGGTTCTTTTGACGCTGTGAAATGCTCGATCCATTTTCTGACTTGTTCAAGAAACAATGAACGTTCTCCACTTAGGTGATTTTGAATCGTCTGAAACAAGTGGTAGTCAGATATCTGGAAAAAACAGCGAGGACATGCCGAGTATTTATATTCAACTGCTTCTTAGAATTTCTTTACTTATTTGGTGAAAAGTCACTAAATTTTTTTGCTTCGGTTAACCCATTTTTCTTATTATTGCGCATAAATCCAGCCAATTCGGAGATGGTCGATTTGTCAAATGACTGTTAATATGGGAGTGGCTTTCAAGAAAATTTGCTGGTTTTTCTGGACCTTTCTTTAGGTTTTTTGGAAAAAGCCCAAAAAACCCAAAATCCGAGCAAATGTGCGCACAATACCACTCCCATATCACGGGAAATTTCGCTAAATTCGAAAACGCGCGCGTCCCTCACTTCTGAGTTCGCGCCCAACCCGATTTACAAAAAACGCTTGGACTTTCTAAAAAAAAAACCAAAAAAAATACCAAAAACCCAAAGAAAAGTCCAAAAAACCTTTGAAACTTCTTGGTCGATTTCGTGTGGAATGGTCGATAAATTCTTTAGCTCACGGCTAGTAAGAGCTACCCAATGAAGAAAACAAACATGAAAATAACATAAGCAAAGAAGGAACTGTTTGTAGGAAGCAGTCGGACTACCAACGGTTCACAATAAAGATCATCAAAAATTTTGAACCATATGAAAAAAGCAAAGTTCATCATTCAATTTATCAACCAAAAATAAATTGGAGAGAAGTTTTGAATCTAATCTAAATAAGTGCCTAATAATAGATTAGAATCAAAGAAATCTTTTTAGTGACGGATTGAAAATCGTAATGAAATAGTAATTTGTATGGGAGACTTTAATTCAAGCGACCTTAGTTCGGGGCTTCATGTGATACAAATACTTTAACATCCGCCGTGTGAAAGTCACTTTATCATTCACATTCGTGCTTTAACTGTTTGTGGTGAAAAGTGGTGAGATTGGAAACGCCATACATTTTATATATCTCCACATTACGTTTACATTTGGGAATTGCATAATTTTATGTGCTTCTATTGTTGATATTCGGGCTCTGCAGAGCCTTTATGCTATTTCTAATGAATATACACTGTGTGCATGCACTTGTGTGTTTTTCATAGGATTTCGAAGTCATTGAATATTGTCACTCGTTCATACATTGGATGAGATTGGTGCACTTGTCATTATAGTTCATTGTTGACGTATTCCAATCCATGTGTGTGTATGCCTAATTTCAACAGTGGACTAATTTGCACTGTTCTTTCTGCGAGAAAGGTATCAGAACAAACAGTTTCCATACGAAACGTTAACGTACAAAACGAATATTTCTGTACAATTTTTTTTTCATATTTTTTTCCTTTTGATAAACACCCTAAATTTGCTTAAATCAAAAACAGCAGAACAATCTACTAGATGTTAAATTTCATTTTTTGGCACCAATCCAAAATTGAGTACCTGAATCGCCTGAGTTGTGAAAATATAAAGCTACGCTAGCATAAAATAGGTCAAGTACCAATTGAGGATTCCAATATTCAGAAAATAGGTTGTTTCCCAATTTTCACAGACTCGCGAGCTCCGAAATCGTCCAATTTCATCGCAATTATCGAGTAGTTGGACTCTCTGAGTACCGAGCCTTCCACAAACCACCCTAAATAATAAAGCGATTTTCTCTAATTTACAATGTTCGACCTAAGACTTTTTTACTGGCCAAATAATTTTTAAAACCTTTGAAATGGATATCATAATTTTTGTAAGGTTTAGTGAGAAATACATAAAAAATTGCACGCGAATATTTTTAATGAATTTGACAAGAATCATTTCTTTCCTTTTGTTTAAATTGAAGCTTTATTTAAAACGTAGGTATATTAATCACGAACTTGATTCTTTTATATAAAACATATACAAACATAATCGTGACCTACTTGCAAATGGAGGAAAAAACAATGTATCACTTACCCAAGATGAGCTTCACGAACATGATTTTCAATTTCGTCAACAGTTTTGTGTATCACATTACACTTTTTCCAGGTGCATTTAAAAAGAGTAGTGTTGATCTGAAAATTACAAGTATTGCATTATATTAAAAGTATGTAGGATAAATGTGTATTCAATATTCGTACAGAGGTCAGTAGAGCATATTTGCTTTATTTCAATATCGAGTCAAGAATCAGCACATTTAAAGAATGCATAAATATTTAATCTTCAGAATTTAAAACTCATTAGTAGACTTTTATCCAAGTGATTATTGCAAACAATTGTTATTAATCTTCAAATTCTATATATGAAGTCAGTATTTCATTGATTATTGTTGTTATAATTCTGCAACATAATCTAGGTCAAAAGTACATAACAAAGTAGATCGATGGAACAAGCGCATTACAGACAACCCCATTTTGCTTTTCAACACACGCATCTCGAAATATATAGGTCATTGCTATGACAACGCAATATATAAAAGAAAAAAAATTCCGCTAAAATATTTTCGAATTGTCAGAATTGTATCACTATAGTGATTGATAGTAGTCTATAGACTAATGTATCTGGTTCAAGTTCTTTTAAATTCACTTGTAGCAACATGCCATATAATAATGTCAAAATCACATAACACAGTTTGAGGAAATTGTATTTTCCTTACATTCTTTGCTTTCGATTGCATTAAATCGCATAAAATTCAATATAACGAAAGCACGAGATTTCATTACAACAATATAATCAAATATCATTTTTTGCAAAACATTCGTAGTGCATTCTTTTTGCTTTTGCTTTTGCTTCAGGTTGGATAATCAGCTTGTGTGTTTTTGGAAGTATAAACAGATTATGAATGATTTGGCAATGTGGTAAACGTTTCTAATAGAGGTTTATGAGTAATTCACCTCAACTTCTATTGTAAATGAATTTGAAGGTCTTTTAATATAGGAAAATGGGAAAAAAAATTTAAATTTTTTTTATTATCTCAACGTTAGAGATTTCTTTATACGGCCTCTATCCTGTGATTATCGTGTACGACTTCGATGGAGGGCATATTGGAAGAATGTGTTTCCAATCATGGATCGCATTTCTTGTATTTCCAATCATATGAAGTCTAAATATCAACCAATTTATTAACCATTTTATTTTACTTTCGAATCATACATGACACTTTTATGTCGGTGTGAACTTCTGTACGAACGAAACACAGTAAAAGGCACAGTAAAAAAAACCAACAACAATTGGATACAATGTAGTTGGCATGCGCATAACGCATTCACACAGCTTATTAATCAACAGTGCACACTACACAGTTGATACATGTCGGTGGTATCAGCATTCCTTTTAACATGACATTCGCAATATTTCGTTTCTTTTTTCATTCTGTGAAAAATGAATATATAGAGGAAACATAACCTCTTATTGCCATGGCAAATACATTTGACGATGCACATATTTGATTATTTTCTGCGAGGACGTTGAACGTTTTTTATCTTGTTTTTTGCATCCTGGACTTTCAAGTCGATATCCAATCAGAAATCGAACTGCCTGGAAACCTTGATATTTTGAAAGGAATAAAGGATTTTTCCCCTAATTTTCGTTATGAAAACAGTTTGTTCATAGAAATTTTTTATAATTGTCTTGGTCGTTCGCACCGGATAGTGTTTCGTCGCAGACCAAAACAAAATATAGGATCATTATTTTGGTTTTAACAAAACTCACGTATTGTGAAACATTGTATACTAGGGTGGGTCGATTAAACATATAGATATAATGCGACCAGTTTTTTCCTATATTTTATAAGGGAAATATGGAATTTTTCAAGTATTTTGCCCATATCTTGAAAACGGATGGGTTTGGGCCACTAAAATCACCCTCCTGGTGACCAGCACCATACAGTTTTCCGCCCGATCGAATGAGACTGGTCTCGACTTTCCCAGATTTTCCGTTTTCCCTCAAACTTGATTACTTGATTTCCTCGGATGAAATTTTTTTTCTCCGAATTTTCCAAAAAAAATTCCGAATCCTTTTTTTATCATATTTAATACGTTCAATTTGTGAAAATGGTTGGAAAATATTGGAAAACTCGGAAAATATTTAAAAAAAACTAGCTATCCATCCCCTCTTTCCAAGTGTGTGTGTCGACGATCATTCTCAGAACGCGAGATATTGCGATAAGCCTTGGTAGTCTCCTACCTAATATCGGAGATCTGGTCAGTTTACATATGTATCACATATATATTCGTGAGACGTAGAAGAACGTATGTTTTTTTTAGTTTTAAATATTTGAAAAGGAAAGTATGTTTTCGATCGATTTTGTCTGAGTAAAAAGTATGTTTGATGGCAACTAAAAATGGTTAAAAGAATGTATGAATTTTGAATGGTAGCGTTAGCGAAAAAAAAATGCATGTTTATGGTCAAGTAAATTTTGCAAAAAGAATGCATGTTGTTCTATCTATTCAGATAATAATAAAGAGAAGCATGTTCTCATACATTTATATTGTCAAAAAAGAAAGTATGTTTGCTAAAATAGTGTAAATAATTAAGTTTATTCCGACCGCATTGAACAGGAATTCATAAACCTTAACACGGTCGGACAAGCGAACGACCAATATATTTGTTGTCACATACCACTCGTGCCGTCCCAGTGAATGAATCGAGTGGAGTAATAGGCACACAGTACACTCAGAGTGCGCATGCGCGCCCAATGAAACACGCATCTCCTGTCCACTTAATTCATAACCGTGCGCCGTTTGAGTGTACAACAACAAATACATTAGATGTCCGAGCGTGTCAAGGTTTATGAATTCCTGTTCAATGCGGTCGGAATAAATTTAATTATTTACACTATTTTAGCAAACATACTTTCTTTTTTGACAATATAAATGTATGAGAACATGCTTCCCTTTATTATTAACTGAATAGATAGAACAACATGCATTCTTTTTGCAAAATTTACTTGACCATAAACATGCATTCTTTTTTTGCTAACGCTACCATTCAAAATACATACATTCTTTTAACCATTTTTAGTTGCCATCAAACATACTTCTCTTTATTGCTGCGAAGTTGGACAAACTTGCGTTCTTTTACGTCTCACCAATAGATATGTATAGTGAGGGCTTATGCCCGGAGGAACATTTTCTGATCTGGGAGTTTTCTCTTATTTCATTTTATGGTGAAGCACGTATCACCGATTTTATGCTGCCCTTAAAATCTTGGGCTCGAGTTCGCAATTAATCTCTTTATTCATTATATAGGCGTTAGGTGAAGAGTTTCATCCTGAAAATGGGATTTGATTAGGATTTTTAGTCAATCCTTACTATCTCTAACGTCAGAAAATGGAATATGAGATAACTTCTTTACAAAAATGTTATGAGAAAACTTCCAAAACAAAAAAAGTCCGTCTGGATATAAGCTAACGAGCTCGCACTTGCCATCTGTACTATCTGTAAGGCCGTTCAATCGAATCACCCTATATTGTATACATATACGTATACGTCTTTTTATATAAAGGCTATGATAACTACTGAGTTCGTACCCACAAGTTTTCGTTTTACCAGAATAAAAGACTTTGCTAAATACAATCAGATTGTCTATTGCAATTGCGGTGGCGCCATCTCTATCTCTTGCCACACTTACGTATTCTCTCAAACTATGTTATATCGATGGATAACATCGATATGATATTTGAAATATCGTGATATGTCGTTGCGTCCGCAAAAACGGCAGCCGCACTCGTTCCTACGAAGCAAGGCGAAAGAAAAACGCGCATCCGCATAGATAGGCAAACCTACACAAAACGAGGCTTTCTGCTTGTGTTCATGCTTTAACAATGATGTGTATGTTCGCTGGATTCTGGATGCGAGTTCTTCTTTCGCCTTGCTTCGTAGGAACGACCAGGGAGGGCATGTGACACGATTTTTTGCGGTTGGTAAGTAAATGACGTCGCAAACCGTATTCGACGGTCAAAAACCTCGTTCATGTCAAAAACTCCTAAACATTCAAAAATACACAGTACGACTCATTAATTCTCTGTATTCATTAACCCTCTAATCCATACAACCCGAAGGTCCTGCATCTAAGCGTCTGACAGCTCACTTCTAGCGCTACGAGACAAGTGTAAAAAGTTGTGACACAGATCGTTCAATGTATTATTGAATCTTTTCTATATTTGTTAATAAAGTAGACAAAAAAAATAAAAATGTCACGAATGTGCAAAATTGATTTTTGTGAGAGCGTAGCACGTGATAAACATAAATTTTATAAGTAAAAAATGTTTCTTTCATTACGGAACATTGTTGATGCGTTCAATTTGTCGCGTTCATGAGTGCGTCTAACGACGTAAAGAATTGAAATGAACTTCACTGAATGCGCTCATCGCAAATCCTGTTTTACTTTGTTTTGTTAGTGTGGTGCAGGGGTTGTGATACAACTGCCTCTAGACGGGCAACATTTGAACGCCTGTAGAACGTAAAACGTACATCGGATCAAATTGCTTCAAAGGGAATTTTCATTCGTCAATGTTTTCTCTTTATTTTTGTCTTTGGCAATTTTTGTCAATGTAGTGTGATTGTAAAGTTATAAACAAAAATGTGTGCAAAAACAAAAATTTGACAAAATAAATTATTCGAACTCCAAATTAGACACATTTTTGACACTTTTAAACAATGATTTGATGAACAATGATGAACGACTAACTGTTTGCAGCTTGACACATCAGAAGTAGGATCGGATTGGATCGACTCATGTCAGAGCAACATTTTGAACAATGTAACGATGATGGCCAATTTTTTTCATCCGATTTATCGCGGCAGAAGATTGAATGAGGATCAACGTAAGCAAGTTACAAGCTACGTTTTTGATAAGCTCGAAGAAGCTGAGCTTGAATCGTTACGTGAACTCACAAAAGGCGAAGGATCGTTTGCAACTTTGGATCGAAAAAAAGTCAATTCACCAAAAACGTTCTGGTACTTCGCCGCCAAATTGAAAATTTACGCATCTACTGTACAGCTTGAACGGTTATTCTCCAACTGGGCATATGTTGTACACAATGACATTAGAAACAGACTATCGACCGAAACATCAAAGAATCTTGTGAACACTTTGGAATCGATGATGAAGATGAAGACGGAGATGAATAAAATCAAAGATTTCAAATAGATTTTATTCATTTTTGATCCACACAAAATGTTCATTTTTAGGTAAATTTAACAGAGTTCGAAAATAAACTCAAACTTTCTGTGGTTTTTTGAAAAAATCTTTCGTAATTTTACATTTTTTTTCATCGTGAAATTGTACAAAAAAAACTCTTTCGACGTCGAAAACATGTCGAAAATGACACAGTTTTCCACATGCCATCATCCCTGGGAACGACTGCCGTTGTTACGGACGTAACGACATATCACGATATTTCAAATATCGTTTCGATGCCATCCATCGATATAACATAGTTTGTTTTTTCTTAAATTTATGATTGGTTGCGGTTTTGGGGAAAAAAATCATTGGCCTCACTAGCGGTTTTGCGTAAATATTTTGACCTACGTATCTAAGGCGTTAGATAAGATACATAAATAAAACATGAACTTACTCGACGTTTTCTTGGTGTTTCATCATTATAGTCCATGACGATGCCTTCGTCAGATGTAGATAATGAAGCTGTTCGCAAACGATTTGTTTGAAATTTCGGATGATTGCTCAAGCTGTATTGTAGAGGCTTCACACTTATGTTATAGGCCTCTACTGCATTTGCGGAACCGTGATTTTGATTCTGGGGTGGCGCAACTACACTTTCTTCAGTCAATTCGTCGCTGCATGAAGTCCAGGAACCGCTGCTGTTGCTAGCAGGACTTGACCCAAGCATCCAAGGACGAGGTGAGTGTGGTGATCCCGATAAACTCATTAGTACCAATGCAGCGTTGCATTCATTCATTTGCTCATCATCTCGTAGTCCACTCAAGAATAGGTCACCATCATGGGAGAAAGAAGGTCGTCTTTTACGAGAACTAATACAAAGATGAATAAAATCTGTTATTGTATTGAAATTAAAAGATATACATATATACATATTAGGGCGGGCCGATTTGTGGGGAGTGAAAAAAATCGATCAAATACCTATGATTTCCGTGTTCTATGGGTTATTTCAAGAAAATTTGCCCGAG